TGCAGTATGCAGAGATGGTGCTACTGCACTCCAGTCTGGGTGACAGAGTGTAACCCTGTCCGCCCTCCACCCCCTCTAAAAAAAGGGTGAAATCATGTCATTCACAGCAACATGGATGGAACTGGAGGATTTTATGTTAAGTGAAATAAGCCAGGAACAGAAAGTGAAACACCGCATATTCTCACTCATATGTGAAAGCTTTAAAAAGAAAAAAAGTTGGCTGGGCACGGTGGCTCACACCTGTAATCCCAGTACTCTGGGAGGCTGAGACAGGTAGATCATGAGGTCAGGAGTTCAAGACCAGCCTGGCCAAGATGGTGAAACCCAGTCTTTACTAAAAATACAAAAATTAGCCAGGCATGGTGGTGCATGCCTGTAATCCCAGCTGCTTGGGAGTCTGAGGCAGAGAACTGTTTGAACCCAGAAGATAGCAGTGAGCTGAGATTTGGCCACTGTACTCCAGCCTGGGCAACAGAGCAAGACTCAGTCCCAAAAAAAAAAAAAAAAAAAAAAGATCTCATAGAAGCAAAAAGTAGAACAGAGAACTCAAAACTGGGAAGAATGGGTGAAGGTGGGTTAGGGAAAAATTTGTTAAAGGATACAAAATTACAGCTAGATGGAGGAATAAGTTCTAATGCCCTACAGCACTGTAAGATGACTGTAATTAGCAATAATACCTTATATAGTTTCACACAGCAAGAAGGAGGATAGTGAATGTTCCCAACACAAAGAAATGACAAACGTTTGAGATGATAGATGTGCTAATTACCCTGATCTGATCACTATATATTATACGTATCACAACACTGCTATGTACCCATATTTATGTTCAATTATTATGTGTCACTTTAAAAAATGTTTCTAACTGTTTTCCTCTATGGGCTGCTTAGCTCTACAGAAATACAGCAAGGGTCTTCAATCTAATCTAACTCACTGGGAAGGGGAACAGGGAACAGGAGAGGGAGAAGATCAAGTCCGATGAAGCTCATCTTCCTATCATTTGGCACCCAGAGGAAGAGGAGCAGACTGCTGGTTATGCCTCTTCTTTTTGTTACTGATTCTATTGGCCAAATCTGGTACACACAGGTATCAGCATTGCTGCTCTTCTTCTGAGCCTTGCAGGAAAGTCAGATGTCCATCTCAAACTGAGCATCATCCCAACTGTGTGTTCCCTGTCATGATAGTTGGTTAAGTTGTTTACTTCTACTTAGGAGTCTCCTATTGAGGTGCCAGGGCTAGTGACTCCTGTGATACTGGGCAGATGGCAGGGCTGTGTCTGAGCCATGGGAGAATTACAATGATCCAACAGACACTTTTGATCATAAATGATTCAAGATCCCTGGGGTGTGGTGAAGAGCATCCCCCGGGTGTGGTGCAATAGTCATGAGGTAGCTGCACAAGTCGCTGATGGACACAGTGTGGGTGGGGATGGCACAGCACTGGCTGGGCTGGTGACCACTGCCAGTGGACAAGGACACAGCTCTGGGCGCAGGCACTCCGCTTCATCCGGAGGGCAGGCTGTGGCAGCTGCAGAGCTGGGATGCTCCAGCCCCTCAGGCAGGAGGAAGGCTAAAAATATTTCGTATTTTTTGTGTGGCTTTTTGTTGTTGTTGTTGTTGTTGTTGTTGTGCTTTTTTGACACAGGGTCTTACTCTGTTGCCCAGGCTGGAGTGCAGTGGTATGATCTGGGCTCACAGCAGCCCCAACTTCCTGGGCTCAAGCAATCCTCACACCTCAGCCTCCCAGGCAGTTGAGACTACAGGTGTGCACCACCACGCTTGGCTAATTTTTCTATTTTTTATAGAGATAGGGTTTTACCATGTTGCCCCAGCTGGTCTTGAACTCCTGGGCTCAAGCAATCCTCTCACCTTGGCCTCCCAAAGTGCTGGGATTATAGGTGTGAGCTGCCATGCCTGGCCTGGTCTTTTTAAATTTTATTTTGTTTTATTAAACTTTTTTTTTAGGCTGGGTGCAGTGGCTCACACTTGTAATCGCAGCACTTTGGGAGACCGAGGTGTGCGGATCACCTGAGGTCAGGAGTTGGAAACCCCAGCCTGGCCAACATGGTGAAATCCTGTCTCTACTAAAAATACAAAAATTAGCCAGGCATGGTGGCAGATGCCTGTAATCCCAGCTACTCAGGAGGCTGAGGCAGGAGAATCACTTGAGCACAGGAGGTGGACGTTGCAGTGAGCCGAGATCACCCCACTGCCCTCCAGCCTGGGTGACAGAGCGAGACCTCATCTCAAAAAAGATCAGCCCATTAAAAATGAGTAAAATACCTTAACAAACACTTGACACAAGAAAATGTGGAAATGGCCCATAGGCACATGAAAAAGGCTTCATCCTGCATTAGTCACCAGGGAAAAGCAAATTAAAATCACATTGAGATACCTCTAATATTTACCAAATGGCTACATTTAAAAACTAACAATATCAATTATTGTTAAGAATGTAGTGTAACTAGAACTCACACATTGTGGAGGGGAGTGTAAAATGGTACAATCACTTTAGGAAAAAAATCCGTCAGTGTCGTAAAACTAAACACACACTTGTCCTGCGACCTGCAATTCTACTCCAAGATATTTACTCAAGAGAAAGGAAAACATACCCACAAAAAGGCTAGCATACAAGTGTTCATAGCAGCTTTATTCGTAATAATCAAAAGCCAAAAACAGATCTGAAGAATGGATAAACACACTGTGGTGTATTCATAAAACAGAATGCGGCAGAGCACCAAAAAGCCACAAACAACAATACGAATAAACCTCAAAAACATTACACAGAGTGAAAGAGCCTTACTAAAAAGCATATACAGCCAGACATGGCGGCTCACGCCTATAATCCTAGCACTTTGGGAGGCCGAGGCAGGTGGATCACCTGCAGTCAGGAATTCGAGACCAGCCTGGCCAACATGGCAAAACCCTGTTTCCACTAAAAATGCAAAAATTAGCCAGGCATGGCAATGAGTGCCTGTAATCCCAGCTACTCAGGAGGCTGAGGCAGGAGAATTGCTTGAACCCGGGAGGTGGAGGTTGCAGTGAGCCAAGATCACGCCATTGTACTCCAGCCTGAGCAACAGAGCAAGATTCTGTCTCAAAAAAAAAAAAAAAAAAAAAAAAAAAAACGCATATACACGAAATTCTAGAATAGCAAAATTAATATATCATGAAAAAATCAGAACAGTGGTTGTTTTGGGCAGTAGGGTAGGGATCAATTGGGGAGAGGCTCAAGAGAACTTTCTGGAGTTGACGTGACTGTCCTATAACTTAACTGGGATTTGGGACACAAAAGTGTTTGCCTTTGTCCCAGCTTGTGGAAAGGTACACGTAAGATTTGTGCAATTCCTGTTTACAATAGCAAAGACCTGGAATCAACCCAAATGCCCATTGATGATAGACTGGATTGGGAAAATGTGGCACATATACACCATGGAATATTATGCAGCAATCAGAAATGATGAGTTCATGTCGTTTGTAGGGACATAGATGAATCTGGAGAACATCATTCTCAGCAAACTGACACGAGAACAGAAAATGAAATACCGCATATTCTCACTCATAGGCGGGTGATGAAAAATGAGAACACATGGACACAGAAAGGGGAGTACTAAACACTGGGGTCTATTGTGGGGAAAAGGGGAGGGCCAGCGGTGGGGGGAGCTGGGGAGGGATAGCCTGGGGAGAAATGCCAAATGTGGGTGAAGGGGAGAAAGGAAGCAAAACACACTGCCATGTGTGTACCTATGCAACTGTCTTGCATGTTCTGCACATGTACCCCAAAACCTAAAATGCAATAAAAAATTTAAAAAAAAAGATTTGTGCAATTCACTTTATATAAATTATATCTGAAAGATACCTGTAAACAAATGTTGAACTGAAATTACACATGTCAAGGTGTTTAGAGATGGAATAAGCTGATGTCTACAACTTACTTTGAAATGTGCCAGAAAATAAGATGGATTGATAAGTGAAAAGATGAATGAGTAGAAAATGGATCGGTGATTAAGCAAAGACAGAGAAGTGATAAGTATATCAGTGTTAAAATGTACGATTCTTTCAACTTCTCCATATATTTGAAAATTTCTGTAATAAAATTGTAGGGGAAAATACATATATACTCTTCAACCCAGAAATTTTACTCCTGGGAATTGATCCCATAGAAATAAAAGTATCTGTCTATAATAACACGTGTAAGAACATTTATTGCAATGCTGTTCCTAGTGACCAGGAAGTGAAAGCAAAGTGCATATCCATCAAATAGGATTCACCTGAGTACAGCATGGCATGTCCACACCATGGGCTATAATGTGGTCACTAAAGGAATAAGGCAGAGCCTCTCCAGAGAGTTTAAAGGAAACAGTTGAGGGAGAAAAGCAACAGTGAATAATATAATCCTATTTTTATAACACAATCACACACACCACACATACATTCTCTTGCTCTCGTTCTCTCTCTCTGGATAGAATTATATATATATAATTATATATATATATATATATATATATATATATATATATATATATATATATAATTCTTTATTTCTTTCTTTTAAATGGCTGGGCATGGTGGCTCACACCTATAATCCCAGTATTTGGGAGGCCGAGGCAGTCACATCACCTGAGGTCAGGGGTTCAAGACCACCCTAGCCAACATGGCGAAACCCCATCTCCACTAAAAATACAAAAATTAGCCAGGTGTGGTGGTGCACACCTCTAATCCCAGCTACTGGAGAGGTTGAGACAGGAGAATCGCTTGAACCCCGGAGACGGAGGTTGCAGTGAGCCGAGGTTGCAGTAAGCCGAGATCGCCGGATTGCTGAGATCACCGAGATTGCGCCACTGCACTCCAGCCTGGGCAACAGAGTGAGACTCTGTCTCAAAAAAAAAAAACTGAAGAGCATAAATTGTTAACACAGCTTATGGGTAAAGGCAAAAAATAAAGGGTTGAATGCTGTTATGGGGATAAAGAAGAATGAATATTCGTGATTTTAAAAACAGCATGTATATCATCTCCTTTAAGTTAAATTTTCTGGCCAGACACACCCAGGAGGTCCAGGGCAGCCTGATCAACATAGTGAGACCCTAGTCTCTACCAAAAAATTAGCTTGGTGTGGTGGTGCATGCCTCTAGTCCTCGCTACCTGGGAGGCTGAGATGGGAGGATGGCTTGAGCCCAGGAGTTTGAGGCTTCAATAAGCTGTGATTGCACCACTGCACTCCAGCCTGGGCAACAGAGTAAGACCCTGTCTCTTTAAAAGATAAATAAGCTTTTCAATCCGCCATCTGCAATGGAGCCACCACCAAAACGCAGATTTTTGTGAAAACCCTTACAGGGAAGACCATCACCCTGGAGGCTGAACCCTCAGATATGATAGAAAATGTAAAGGCCAAAATCCAGAATAAGGAAGGAATTCCTCCTGATCAGCAAAGACTGATCTTTGCTGGCAAGCAACCAGAAGACGGACGTACTTTGTCTGACTACAACATTCAAAAGGAGTCTACTCTTCATCCTGTGTTGAGATTTCATGGTGGTGCTAAGAAAAGGAAGAAGAAGTCTTACAGCACTCCCAAGAAGAATAAGCACAAGAGAAAGAAGGTTAAGCTGGCTGTCCTGAAATATTATGAGGTAGTTGAGGATGGCAAAATTAGTCGCCTTCCAAGGACTTCATAACCAAAACACCGAAAGCATTGGCAACAAAAGCCAAAATAGACAAATGGGACCTAATCAAACTCCACAGCTTCTGCACGGCAAATGAAACAGTCATTAGGGTGAATTGGCAACAAACAGAATGGGAAAAAAATTTTTGCAGTTTACTCATCTGACAAAGGGCTGATATCCAGAATTTACAAAGAACTCAAACAGATTTACAGGAAAAAAACAAGCCCATTCAAAAGTGGGCAAAGGATATGAACAGACACTTTACAAAAGAAGACATACATGAGGCCAACAAACATGAAAAAATGCTCATCATCACTGGTCATTAGAGAAATGCAAATCAAAACTACACTGAGATACCATCTCACACCAGTTAGAATGGTGATCATTAAAAAATTTGGAGACAACAGATGCTGGAGAGGATGTGGAGAAATAGGAACACTTTTACACTGTTGGTGGGAATGTAAATTAGTTCAACCATTGTGGAAGACAGTGTGGCAATTCCTCAAGGACCTAGAAATAGAAATTCCATCTGACCCAGCAATCCCATTACTGGGTATATATCCAAAGGATTATAAATCATTCTACTATAAGGACACAAGCACACGAATGTTCATTGCAGCACAGTTTACAATAGCAAAGACCTGGAACCAACCCAAATGCCCATCGATGATAGACTGGACAGGGAAAATGTGGCACATATACACCATGGAATATTATGCAGCCATCAAAAATGATGGGTTCATGTCCTTTATAGGCGCATGGATGAACCTAGAGACCATCATTCTCAGCAAACTGACACAAGAACAGAAAATCAAACACCACATGTTCTCACTCATAGGCAGGTATTGAACAATGAGAACACATGGACACAGGGAGGGGAGCACTACATACTGGGGTCTGTTGAGGTGAATAGGGGAGAGACAGCAGGGGGTGGGGAGTTGGGGAGAGATAGCATGGGGAGAAATGTCAGATATAGGTGAAGAGGAGGAAGGCAGCAAATCACACAGCCACGTGTGTACCTATGAAACTATCTTGCATGTTCTTCACATGTACCCAAAACCTAAAATGCAATAAATTTAAAAAAATATTCATCGCCTTCATCAAGAGTGCCCTTTTGATGAATATGGTGCTGGAGTGTTTATAGCAAGGCACTTTGACAGATATTATTGTGGCAAATGTTGTCTGACTTACTGTTTCAAACCAGAAGACAGGTAACTGAGTTAATAAAAGACATGAACTAAAAAAAAAAAGATAAATGAATAAAATTAAAATAAGTGAAATGTTCTATAGTATGTGGGGTGTGGTGCATAAAGAGACGCACAGGAAGGCTGGGCACCAAAATGTGAATAATGGTCATCTCATGGTGGTGGGATTCCAGGTAACTATTCCCTTGTCTTTGTAGGAAGGAAGGGAGAAAGGGAGGGAGGGAGAGAGGGAGAGAGGGAGGAAGAAAAGAAGTCTACAGGTTTCATATCCTCACCTCCTATTCTCTCTTCACCCCACCCCAACTCCTGTGTTTTTTGTTTTCTGTTTGTTTTGAGACAGAATCTCACTCTGTTGTCCATACAGGAATGCAGTGGTACCATCACGACTCATTGCAGCCTCGATCTCCCGGGCTCAAGTCATCCTCCCACCTCAGCCTCCCAAGTAGCTGGGACCACAGGCATGTGCCACTGTGCCTAATTCTTTTTTTTTTTTTTTTTTTTTTTTTGGAGAGATGGGGTCTCACTATGTTGCCTAGGTTGGTCTCGAACTCCTGGCCTCAAGCCCCAACTTTTACTTTTGCCAGGCCCTGATCTTATCTGACTTCTTGCCAGCATTTCACATTGCTGGCAGATGTCTCCTTGAAATCCTCCCTTCAATCAACTTCTATGGCACACTGCGCCCTACTCCTGCCTCTGTGATCGTCACTCCTCAGTCCTCTTTCCATCCTTCCCATCATCTTCCTCTGGATTTTGTCCTCAAACCTTTCCATTTCTCAATTAATTACCATCTAGATGCTAATGTCTCCCAAGCGGCTGTCTTGAAATCCAACCAAACATCTCTAATTGGATGTCCCACAGGTCATCAGACTCAGCATGGCCAAAACTAATCTCATCATCTTTCCCCCAAAAGCTACTGCTTCTCCTCCTGCAGTCCAATCTCAGAGAATGTCAGCATCCCCACCCGCCACTTACTAAAGCCATAATCTTGGATATCATTACTCTCTCCTACACCCACATCCAATCACCCACCAAGTGCTATCCGTTCTGTCTCCTGAGTCTCTATCCATCCATCCTCTTGTCTGCCTCTCCCCTACCCCTGCCTTGATTCCGGCACCATGACATCTCTTGTAAATGACTGAAGCAGCCTGTTCACTCATCCTTCTGTCCACTGCCCCCACTTATCTCCCATACATGCCAGAGGGATCTTTCCAAACCACAAATCTGACCCCAGCCCTTCCCTGTTTAAATCTCTTCAAGGATTTCCCATTACTCTTAAGATCAAAGTCAAACTCTTTTTTAAAAAAACATATTTATTTTTTATGTATTTTTTTTTTTTAGACAGGGACTCCCTCTGTCACACAGACTGGAACACACTGGTGCTATCACAGCTCACCGCAGCCTCCACCTCTGGGGCTCAAGCAATCCTTCCTCCTCAGCCTCCTGAGTAGCCTGAACCACTGGTGCAGGCCACCCCGCCCAGCTAATATTCTGTTTTGTTTTTAGCAGGGATGAGGTTTCACTGTGTTGCCCAGGCTGGTCTCAAACTCCTGGCCTAAAGCAATCCTCCCATCTCAGCCTACCAAGGTGCTAGGATGACAGACATGACCCACTGCACCCAGCCAAGATCAAACCCTGAAACATGATGTATTGGTTTAAGGATATACTCAGCCTCCCCCAGCACTGCCAACTCCAGCCCCTGGCCTCTCTCTGTCACATATCTAAAAAGCAAGAACACTGCTGTGAGCCATCTTCAAGGGCTAAGGGCACCGGAACATTTGGCAGAGGTGAGGATGCCTTTTTGTTTTCAGAAAACTACTTGCCAGGTAGCTGAAGAAGTGACAGGGCTGAGGCTGCTTCCCCCAGGGTGACGGCCTTCCATCTCCCACTCATCCCTCTGACTCTATCATTCTCAAGAGGTTAGGGCAATGAGCTGGTTCGAGGCAACTGACCACAGAGAAGAAAAGCCTAGAGTGGGGATAAAGCCCACTTTTGTTTTCTTTTTTCTTTTTTTATTATTATTATTTTTTTTAAAAAGATGGGGTTTCACCATCATGGCCAGGCTGGTCATGAACTCCTGACTTCAGGTGATCCATCCACCTCGGCCTCCCAAAGTGCTAGGATTACAGGCGTGAGCCACAGCGCCCCACCTTTTTTTTTTTTTTTTTGAGACAGAATCTCACACTGTCACCCAGGTTGGAGTCCAGTGTTGCAATCTCAGCTCACCACAACCTCCGCCTCCTGGGTTCAAGCATTTCTCCTGCCTCAGCCTCCTGGATAGCTGGGATTACAGGCGCCCACCACCACACCCGGCTAATATTTTGTATTTTTAGTAGAGACAGGGTTTCACTAATTTGGCCAAGCTGATCTGGAACTCCTGATCTCGTGATTTGCCTGCCTCAGCCTGCCAAAGTGCTGGAATTACAGGCATTTTCTTTCTCTTTAGGGAGAAGCTTCTGCACTGGTCCACATTCAGAGTGCCCTCCTTTTTTTTTTTTAAGAGACATCCTCTTGCTCTGTCACCCAGGTTGGAGTGCAATGGCTCAGTCACAGCTCACTGCAGCCTTTAACTCTTGCACTTCAGCGATTCACCCCCATCAGCCTCCTGAGTAGCTGGGACTAGAGGTGTACTCCACTGCACCCAGCTCTCCATTTTCATTCTTGATACCTTGATACAGAGCTCAGGACCAAGGCAGGAGGGCTCCTCTGCTAATGACGGTCCTCCATACATACACAGCATAGTACTGGGCACAGTTACTGTTTATTTTAGTATTTATCAATGGCGTCTACAGCACACTTTTCCCCTCAGCTTCAAGCTCCCAAGCCAGAAGGTAAGTCTATTTTTTTTTTTTTTTTTTTTGAGGTGGCTTCTTACCCAGTCACCCAGGCTGGAGTGCACTGATGCAATCTCAGTTCACTGCAACCTTTGCCTCCTGGGTTCAAGTGATTCCCCTGGCTCAGCCTCCCAAGTAGCCCACGCCGTCAAGCCCGGCTAATTTTTTGTATCTTAAGTACAGACAGGGTTTCACCATGTTGGCCAGGCTGGTCTCAAACTCCTAACCTCGTGATCCGCCCACCTCGGCCTCCCAAAGCGCTGAGATTACAGGCATGAGCCACTGTGCCCGGCCAAAGGTGAGTCTTACTAAAGAAAAAATTACTCATGACACTTGTTAAAGACAATAAATCAAACTTGATTGAAGAGGGGCCCTGACCATAAATACAGGGACCACTGCAATGGGTCCTGCAGCAAGGGAGAGACTGGACTCAACTCCGACTGCAACCAGTTCAAGTGGAGATTTATCGCCAGGGAGCAGGGGGAGGAGCTCAGCAGAAGTTTTGCTGCAGGCAGGCCAGGGTGGTAAGATACTGAGGGTGGGGAGTTTTTGCTCAACTGACTTAGCAGGATTCTTGCTCAAATTGGGTTCTATGAGGATAGAGAGAATGTCAAGCTCAGGACTAGGCGAGCAGAGGGCTCAGAGGAGTCCAGCGATAGTTTGGGTCTAAGGAGAGAGTCTTTGTCAGCCTTAATAGGTGGAACTAAATAAGTAGGGAGAAAGGAGAATGTGAGGCTTCGGGCTGGTCAGAGGGCGCCCTCTCCTTGGGGATACCCCATGAAGTAGTCAAACACTGGCTTTGGGGTCCACCTATGGGTTTTAAGCCCTAGTCCTGAAGTAAGAGGCAGGACTTGATTCTGGGGGCAGGGCTGGAACACCAGACCGAATTGAAGACTAGCTAAAACAGGGATGGGGCGGAAGCAGTTTTCCATAAGACACACCCACCAGTATGCCAAGTTTACCATTGCCATGGCAACACCTGAAAGTTACCACCCCTTGCCATGGCAATGACCCACCGAGCCAAAATTACTACCCCTTCCCTAGAAATTTCTGCATAAACACCCATTCACCTACATGGGATTAAAAATAGGTATAAATATAACTGCAAAACTGCCCTGAGCTGCTACTCTTTGCATATAGGGTAGCTGTGCTGTGCAGGAGCAGTCACGGAGCTGTAATCAGCCCTGCACATTACTCACTCTGTAACTTTGGGCCTCAGTCTCCCCATGGGTGAAGACAAGGAGACAGAGGGGGACTAGAGTTCCTGTGCATACTCAGGGTTCTAGGGACTGGGGCCTGCTTTCCAGAAGGTCCCAGCTTAAATGTTTACTAAAGAACAAGCGCCAAGTCTCTCTTTCTTCGGCATCTTTCACATTTACATATAAATTGCTACCTAATGGTCTGCCCTCCTTTATCTTAGCCCCAGATTCTAACAAGCTGGAAAAATGGTCCTGTGCCTGGGAATAACGGAGCTTCCAGGCTGAGGATAGGAGAATAAGCTTCTTCACTTGCTGTGCCATTGGGAAGGCAGAGAGGGCAGGAGTGAAAGGAATACCATGTCCCTTCTCCACTGGGACCTATGCCACAGTGTCCCAAAGGAAGGGGGAGAAAACCGTTTTGTAACAGTTTGAAACATGGTGGAAAATCAAGCATGAAAGTATGTGAAATCCACTATACAATTTGTGAAAAGTGACTCATAACTCTATCTGTTCTTTCCAGTGTACACGTTGCAAATATTTCATCCAGACAGAAATTGGAAATAAAGATAAGCCAGGAGCGCCATCTGGGATGTGATCTGTCACTAAGGCTAAGGCTTAGACGCACAAATCCAGAGATCTCTGCAGATACTAGGGATGGGGAGAAAAATGATGAAGTCCCTCCCTCCCCCAAACACACACACATGCGCGCGCATGCGCGCGCACACACACACACACACACACACACACACACAGAGTACTGGTGCTAGGTCCCTCTTTAAGCACTTTAAATACATCTTTTATTTAATTCCAAAAACCTGTGAAGTTGAGATTCCCATTTTAGAAACTGAGGAAACTAAGGCTTGCTCACCTAAGTAACTGGCAGATTTGGACTTCAAACCTAGGCCTCTCTGATGCTAAAGGCCCAGGTTAATTTACACAATACCAACAAATGTGTCCACTAGAGCATTAGGGCTTGTCTC